CTCTTGTAAATACAACACAGTTTCCACTGCGTTGCAAATGCAGTCCTGTGTGACATACAAATGCGGTGATAGAAGAAATGGGAGTTTGAAAAGTGATGCATGTAGAAGAAATGGCCCTTTAAAAAGAATGGTGCTCCCCTTTGTCTACATGGAAGGGGGGGGGGAGCTGAGATCATATGAAGGAGCTGAGATCATTTAAAAACAAAAAGCAAAAATTGACAGCTCCTCTTGCACCCTCGCCAAAAATCAAGAAGGGGATGAAAAGAGTGGGGCTGCACCATTGCTCTCCACCTGCGTTTTGTGGAGGATTTCTACCCCCATTCTTGTCCACCCAAATCATATCCTAAAAACCAGCGCAGCCCCTCTTCTGTGCTAACTTTCCCAAAAGTAAGCCCCATTGATATCAATGTTCTTATTAAGGCAATTATGACGTGATTTATTTATTTCAGCTTGTTTTACCTTGTCCCTTTGTTTTTTTCAAAGGGGAGAGGAAGCAGCTCTGCATTTATTCCCCAGTTTGCTGGCAAGTTAAGGGAAGAAAGAAGCCATGCTGGGGGCAAGGGAGGCAGGAAAGCCACCCCAGGATCTCCCCCTCCACGCTGCTGCTGCTTGACAAGCCCCATGAGACAATTCCTCCTCTTTCCCAGCTTAGCAGCTCCCTGAATCTGAGACATGACAGCAGAAATAGCACAAGGAGGCAGGTTTGGGGTGAGCACCATGTGACCCTGTCTTTGTTTGTCATTGTTAGAAGATGATAATAGCATGGCTTGGAGGACACACACGTGAGAAACTAGGGAAGAGCTTTGTGGAGACCTGCAGGGTTGGCCCTCCCAGGAAGCTGCGTAAGACTGCCTCAGGTGGCCAGTGCTGGTGGTAGCAGAGAGGTGTTGGTGGTCGGAGTTTTGGATGCCATGTGGCCTTCCCTGTTTCCCCTGCATTAGGCTGCTACCGTTGCGTGCAGTGGAGAACAGTGCTTCACCAAGTGCTCTTGATGTTAAGGTCAAAGTGGTGGTCCGATCAGTTTCTGCACACAGGATGTGCGGGATAACATCTCGTCTTTCACTCCAGGTAGCATCATGCTTCGGAACTGGACATGGTCTTTCTTAAGAAGGGTGCCGCACAAGGATACTCAGATTCAGCTGTGTGCTCTCCTGTGACCAAACCGTCTTTTCCCAGGGCTTCCCTGGGCTGAATGGTTCATTCTAGAGACAAGGCGAGGATCTTGTACTCACCGCAATGGATGCCATATGACGTGCACAGGATACTCTCGCTCAGTCCTATCAAGACCTGACTTTTCTAGTTCACCTTTCCCATTCATTCTAGTTCATTCTCTTTCGTCTTTCCTCATTTTGTGTTATCACTTTTCGACTGCAACCCTGCAGGCAGGGTTTGCGTTATTTCTGATCTTTGCAAGCTGTTTGGAGAGCATTTTTTATTTGAGTTAAGAATAAGGTAATGTTCAAAAGACATGCATGTGTGCATACATACATAAATGTATAGGCCCTGCATATAATGTGTGAGATTTACAGAGCATGTTTAAATGAAGCTGGATGGACTGAAAGCAATTTAGACTAGGGCTGGGTAACCTTTGGCCCTCCAGATATTTTGATCTACTGCTCTCATCAGTGCTGGCCAACATGATGTAGGCCAAACGTAAGGAGGGCCTCGGTTCCCTGTGGACCATTAATCTATCCCATGGTGCTTCTGAATCTACAGCAAGACTGAACATAGATATCCATTCGCCTCTTTGTATCAACAAGGATTTTCCTGGCTCCCTACCACTTCTTGCAGGCTTCCAGAAGGAAAATTCTCTGACAGTCTTTCCAAGCAGCATTTTGCTAGGATTTGTGTTGATATACAGTGAAAGGGAATGTCTCAACCTAAAACATTTTTTAACTTAGTAAGTTTTCCACAGAGCCTTTCTTACTCTCTTTTGCTCTTTCTTGGTCTCTCCTTTAACTGCATTAATTCCAAATCAGTCTACTGGTGGTTATATAACACTTGTTTATAATTTTTGTCACATCAGCCCTGCAATTAATCTCTAGCTTGCTAGAGTAGGTGAGGAAGAAGTGTCCGTGCTTGGAAAATTTCTTTTAAAGTAACTTTATTGCCCATTATGCCATTGTGCCTTCCTATTTCTACCAGGATTTCCTTATGTAATCCAATGCTTTTGATATTGGCAATTTACTGCCCCCAAGACTAGTTGCCATTGATAGTCTTATCCACCATGAATTTGTCTAAACACTCTAGCTCATCCCCATTGGCAGCCATCCACATGAATGACTGCATACATGAGAACTCCTATGACTATCAGTAAGAAAGTGCAGGATTTCCCAATTTTCTTTCAGCAGGTTAACTGCAGGAAAAGATGGAAGAAGTGGTGGGAAAACATGGACGCTCACGAGCAGATGGTATCTGGTTCTCCCGTACCATTCTATAAATGTGGTGGAAAAACTGCTCTGTTCAAGACTCACACCCTGCATCTCAAGGTAGCAAATTCCATAGTTTAATTGTGTTACGTTTGAAAGACTATTTTTTATTGTCCTGACTCTCACCATTTGGCTGTGTTGGATACTCCCAAGTGCTAGTCTAATGAGTAGAAGTTTTTTCTTATCTATTGTCTGTATTTAATTTTGTATAACTATCACATCCTCTCTCTTTCTCTCTCATCATGACAATGTTCCACAATCTGTCATTTTTCCCTACAAGGGAGGTGCTCCAGCCCCACTGTCATTTTGGTTACAGTTTTCTGTACTTCAGCTCTACATTACCCTTTTTGAAGTGTGGTGATCAGACCGATACACAATATTGCAAGTGTGGTTGGATAATGGATGCACACAAAGGAATTGTGATAGTGGATTTTATTTCCAGTTCCTTTCCTAATGATCCCCACTGTAGATTGCATAATGGCATTGTGTGTATGGATTAGTTTTCTGTAAGCAATTCTTTGTCCCATGGGTTATTTGCCCGCCTGAGGTGTAGATTATGATATTACCAGGGCCTTTGTGGAAAAACGGATGATTACAAAGAGAAAGGAGCTGAACAGGCTAAAATTAAGCAGGAAACAAAGAAAATCATTTTCTGCAAAGTGAAGGCAAAGGGGATTTGGTACAAAAATATTATCTACAATAATTAAAGATGAAGTTGAAAAAAGTAACAAGTGGGAAAGGAGATGAGGACAAAAGGAGAATGGGTCAAAAATGATGACAAATGAAGATGCTGAGAGGTGCAGTGAAATGAGAAAGGAAGAGTGTGAAGAAGGAGAACAGATGAAACATACGAGAATCAGTGTGGACGGTGAATTTTGAAAAAAAAGTCTTCACAGAACCTGGGGATTTATTTCTTTTTCTTTTGAGCACACTGGGATTATTGAAACATATATTCTTATTCAACATTAGTGTGGTTAGATAGAAAGCTGGGTCTGAAATAGCAGAACACTAAATTTTTACATGCAAAAGAAATGCTTTTGGAACAGGAAAATGGAACATTTTCAAGCAGGAAATATAGTAAATTACACAAACCCTTTTCAACAAATGCCTAACCAATTAGGTGCCTGCCTGGGGAAAGCCATTCTCAAGTTCCAAGTGGTTCAGCTTGCCTTAGATATTATCATTACCAGGCCATCAGACACTGTCTAGCAGTTGCTTCTGATATGATCCAGCTGGGGATAAGAACCAGGGAGAAGGAATAACCCTGTTTTTGCTTGAGAAAATTGTAAGCAAAGTTGCACTAAGACCAGGACCCAACTTCTCTACTTTCTTGCATGCACAGCTGGTTGCTGCTTTTCTCTTCTGGCTCTATCTGTAGCCAAGAAAGGGCAGTTAAAGAGTTGAAAGGTGGGAGTTAGTCTGTGGAGAGTAGAGAAGGAGGCCTGCTGGTTGATGTGTGACGTTTCAGAGCTAGGAGAAAGTGAAAAGCTACAGACCACACGTTAAACTATCCTTTCGCTGTGGGATAATTATATGTGGCTGGTGAAGATCAGACACAGAGAGCAGGTGGCTGTGTTATGCCAGGAGGCTACCTCAAGATCTAGCTAGGAGGTTATACAAACAGGCAAAATAACGGGGCAGCCAGAAATTCAAGAGGAACTTTGGTGTCAGAGAAAAACTATACAGAAGCCGGACTTGTTTTTAAGTGCATTTGGCAGGGGTGGAAGTTAAGGGCATTTGATATGAAGGAAAATAACTAATTAAAGGCACAATCCTATCAACATTGGGACAGAAAAAAAGGACTCAGCATGTTGGGAGTTGAAGGCCTTCTGTCTGTCTAAAGATGCATGGGTTGTTCCCTAGGCTTATAGCAGCAACAATGTCTTTTAAGTCCTTCTGAACTGCCCTTAAGCAGTCTCCTGGGAAAACCAAAAGCAAATATTAGTAATGCCTAATGTACAAAAGAACCCTCTAAGTAATTACTCTTGGTGCCCATCTCACACCTAAATCTCTTACTCCACCTACTAGGAGGTTTTAAAGTATTCTAAGAGACTTGGTGGCGGTTGCAAAGGATCAGCTTATGGAATTCTAGGGTTTAATAGCAGAAAGTACCCTAGGTCCTGAAATGCATTTGCTGTAAATAACAAACCCACGCAGGTGGGTTTGCCCTGTGAAATGGCAATTTCCCCATAGGTAATAGCAGTGCTGGGGAGACAAAAATCCCAGGGTTATAAATCATACATTGTACAGGATATTGAAAATCCCTCCCTGTAGAAAAAAATGAAGGAACTGCTGCTTTTAAACATTGGCCATAGGCCTACAATTATATGATTTTTACCTCCTGCTTTTAGTTTTTACAGCCAGGATGACAGGGAGACTATCTGGAACATAAACTGTTACATCACTCAAGTCTATGGAATTGTAGGTTGGCCTTGATTTATGTGAGCAGAAGGTTAGTCATGAGAATGACACATCTCCTCTTATAAATGGTCAGAACATCATCTGCCCTTTGCCTTTACCAAAAATCTTATGTATGGACATATGGAGAAATAATGACACAGAATTAAGTGCTTACTCCATAAAACATTAATATTTTAATGAAAAATCTTAGCATCATGTTTCTATCCAAAGACACTCAAAACTAGTTTTTCTTCCCTCTCAATTTTGACTTATAATGGGACCAGTCTGGATATTTTTTTGTTTGTTTTTGTTTTTTTTTAAAGATTAAACAACCAGGCTAGCAAAAAAGGTACCCAATACATATTCTTCTTATATCAAACAAGCTAATATTTCAGTACAAGGTAACTATACAGAATATATACATTACACAGAGAATCACAAAAGCAAACACTACAGGCTCAGAACAGATTTTGAAAAAACCATGATATTCACATTGATTACAAGAACTCTAGAAATGATTGTAACAGTGAAACGGCACTTTAGTTTACAAAAAGTCACAAAAATATATATATAGCCACCAAGAACTATGGGTTCCTGAAAAATACTAATAGCGAGATATAGTATATAAAATGCAAAGTGTATTTCAACATTAAAAAAACCAAACCCAAAAAACATTTTTCCATTAAGTCAATAAACATGCCAAATAGCCTAGCTGTGGTCAGCACGGACAAGAAAAGCTCTATGAGATGGCGGCTGGTGACTGAAGACTGGCACAGTTAATAGGAAGAGGGAGGTTCACGCAGTAGCTGGAACGTCCCTTGAGAATGTGATTCACAGTTGCGACTCCAGCTTGACTCCCTTTCCCTTGGAGGACTCTACAAAGGCCCAGAGACAGACAGCACTGCAAAAATGGGGCCAGGAAGCACACTCAAGCTTCCACTGGCTGGGGCTATAGTCAGAATAAATTGGCAGCGTGCAACAGCCTAAATAAAACAAACAAACATCACAACCATTTTCATGTATCTCAAATCTCTCCAGAAAGCAGCTGAAGTACTCTGTTACCATACAGAGAATTCAAAATAAAAAACAAGTCAGAGAGCTTTAAAATTACTGATTTTTGCATTTTAAATATTTGCATGAATGTGCTTTAAAATAGTTTATTCTACTAATGTTGTAGCATTAATTATTTCTTATTCTACCCCAATTCCTGGCCAAGTATGACCCACAAAGCCTTGTAGTATAGCACAATGTAAGTCTGAACCTGACGGGAACCACGTGTTCCTACAGGGACTTAGGATCAACGACTGTAACAACATTTTGTTCTGCCTGTTCTAAAAAAAAGTAAGCCTTGCTTTTTGCATCAAGGCAACCAAGGAACAAAAATTTCTTCTCCTTATCAAACACCATCCAAACCATTCCTTGTACGCCAGGTTCTGCAGACTTCTAAGAAAGCGGCAGGGATTTGGATCTAACACTATTCATGAGGCTGGTGAAGAAAAATTAGTAATACCCCCCTTTCCCCACGTCCTGGTCAAAGCCACTATTTAAAAATTTGCAAATGCATTGTTAAAAAAATACAGTTTTAATCTTTTTTGGGATTTGGGACCTAGGAACTATAGTTTTATAAAATATAATATATATATATAATATATATATTTTTTGCTACACTGGCACTGGTTACTTAAAAAAAAATTACATGTACACTTTTCAGACTAAGGATACGTGCCCAAACTAGAACTATTTCAAAGACATTTCTGACTGTTGTGTTCATTACAACTGGGAGCATAAAACTGTTCAGTCTGAGACAAGAGGTTAAACGGCTTTCCAAAAGATGCATCCAAAGGGAAATGAGCTAGAAGCTGGCGACAGAAGTACATTTGTAACACGCATCGGACACATCCCACATTGTGATTTCCGGGAACATGATCTGACCTCCCACAGACACACACTCTCCATGTCCAAGTGTCAACACATTAAAACAATCACCCATCTTTTAAACCCCACTGCAGTGTGCAATGGCTGCTACCTCTGTGACTCAAAGGAGGCAAAGGTATGGTATTAGCTACCTTATGTGCCCCCCTTTCCAAATTCTGTGCAGGAACAGAAGCTTTGCATATGAATATAAAATTCACTTTCTTAGAAACCACAGGAAGACTGTAAATACTGACCGCAGCGCACTACATCACACATACAGCTCTCATCAGGCTATCACATGAATAACCTGGATGCTAACAATAAAACCCAACACTATCAGAAGATTCTGTGTCGCCAAATCAATTAAATTTTACTATTTTTTGTCAGGAACATTTTGCTCAAAATAAATTCTGGTCTTATCTTGAAACAAGTAATTTTTAGTTAAGTTAAAAAGGGGGCGGGCAATCTGCTGAAACACAAAGGGGCTGGCATCTTCATCATCCAGCTAGCTGGTTGGGGGCTGGTCCATTTATTCATTCGTGCTTTCCGTGACAAGACAACTGTGGCAGCATCCCATAGGGGGCCTAAGGTCATTCTCCTTCAATTGTATAGCGTGGATGAGTGGGTGAAAGCCAGCTGCCCAGGCCAAGAGGGTGTTGTAGCAGCAGGAGGAGGAGATGCTGCCCAGAACTCAGATTTCCAAAGGACCAACCAAATTTTCTTGGGGGCCAGATGTACCCCATGGGGTTGACAGTTTGCCATCCAACTTAAAATCTGCTGCATAGATATTCAGTTTGAAATAATTGGGCTTGCATTTTCAAATTAAACATGCACTTTGTCCAAGGTGTTCAATATCTGCTTTTTGGACCATGAATATTCACCACAGGGTTTCATTTAAATGCCTCAAACTAAAATCTGTCTGATCATACATGAAAACATTTCCAGAATGTTGGAGGGGGAGGAGGAGGAGAAGAGAAAGAGTGGCATATTTTCATTGGTAGGTAGCTCTAGGGAGAGGGCTAGTCCTTCAATAGGGAACAAGCATATGTCTAAAAAGGCCTCTCTCTGTGAAGAGAGAATTGTGATACGGGCTGAGAGTTCAAACTAAATATATATCAACTTTTTGTACTGTGATGCAACACAGTAACACATGATTCACACAAACTAACTATATTCACTTTTAACTTTTGTAAAGGAGAATAAAAATAATGAGCTTAAACACAATTCTTATGAAATTATTTCCTTAGTGTTTATTATTACATTTTCAGAAAGCTGTTTACTCTCTGATAAAATTTTAGATCTCTTAAAATATTTTAATGTAGATCACCTGCTCTACATTTGTACATATCAAATGTACAATTTGCACTGTCAAATTATACCTCACAATGAACCTTACACTAGAGAAGGTGTGCTGTGCAGGCAGAACAAGGTATCTGTGGGTAAAAGGTTAAACAAATTCCCAACACTTGTCAAATTATTTGTCAAGTACCAATTTGTATGTAACTGACATTTCTAGAGCATTTAGACTCATGATTTAATGTTGTTCCAAGATAAAACACTCATATATTAAAATATGTTACTTTAAACCTGAATTTATGGGAGAAAATAAATGAATAGTCCCTAGAGGAATCATTCAAACACTAAAATCACTGTATATATAGCCAGTTAACTTCTTTCACTGGGTTTCGGGTTTTTGTTTTGGTGAGTAATGGAATTACCATACTTCATACTTACCTAAAATGGGAACAGAGCCTCAACATGGGCATACTTTTTCGCATATACTATCTTTACCAATCTGGAAGAGGGATTTAATTTATTTGGGTTTAAAATTCATGAGAAATAATGTAAAACCTAAACAGAACTCTTATAGTTAAACTTTGTTAGTGATTCTCTATTAAGCTGCTTTACAAGAGTTGCAGAGAAGTGCAAAAAGTGGTTTCCTTTGTGGATTTGCTATTAGCAGAAACATGACAAAACTATAACTTTCCATTTTTTTCCCAGATTTCAAACATAGCTGCATAAAGTATCAGCACTGTTGTTTGAGCTATGCAACTACTCAACCATTTTTTTTTCCTATCAACTCTTTTCTATTTTATCCTCAAGTTTGATAATTATTTGAAATTCAAGTCACTGGTACCACCTTAGAGGAATCTTGCACTTTTCAAAATAGCATTAGCTGAATTAGGAAGTTTTGATGGTTTCATTTGCTCAAAGCTCAATAAAATAAGTATAATACAGTCCAATCTAAATTTCTATTTTTTACTAACAACAGAAGATGCTAGCAACAAAATGAAAACTGCTGGCCTGGAAATGCCCTATCTTGTGTTTACAAGCTTTTATAAACACAGATTGAGAAAGTGAAATGACTAGTCTTTCAGATTATTGCTTGCTGGACTTATGCATGTAGCTATAGCAATAGCCTTTATGAAACCAGCTTGACATGGGTATAAAAATGTTTTAGAATATGAACATTTTATCACTGTAAACAGGGCTTTTGTAAACAGCCCCTCTTGGGTTAGAAGTTTGGCCTCTAAAGGAAAATAAATTGGTTGTTTTATCTAAAAACACGGTAATAAAACCATACCAAGCACACACACAGATGTATTACCACAAAAGGGTACAGTACTCTTTTGACTTTTGTAAACTCTCTCCTCTCCATACAGTCCCAAATTGTTAAACATAACTAGGATTTCTTGACTAGAGAGTTTTTATGTACCACTTCACAGAATAAATCCATGCAGGGCTATTTGCTTGAGCCATTTTAAAAAAGGAATGGCAGACCAGAGGTGTGTATACCTGGGCTTGTTCCCCCTTGCTTTGTTAAGTCAATCAATCATCCGCTTTTAAAAACAGAGGTCCTGAAAGTTTTAGAAATGGTTACAGTAAGCACGCTTAAAGAAATTATGAGACCAAAGAGATTTCTTCTTGGCAAAAATACTCACGTCTACTAACACTAGTAATTTGTTCCATACTTGACAGCGTACTCAACATTGATTTTAAGGGTCACAAATTCTTCTTCCTTTATCAGACTTTCTGGGGAAACGGGGTGGCACAACTATCCATTAAGGATTAGGTCTAACCTTAAAGTAAGAAACTACAAAAGTAGCTTGCATGCGTTTGGCTCTTCTTTAGAAGTGCATGTTAAGTTCTGACAGAACCTTTACTGTGCATTTCAGTCTTAAAATGTTTCCACAGAAGTGACCATTTGGTTATGAAGAATAGTGTAACAATCTGTTGCAGTTTACAGTTTTAACAGCATAGCTTACAAAATAAAAAGGGGTACATTCTCCCCCCTTCTGAAAATTAAATTAAAATGTACAAGACCAAACACAGGCACTTTCCAAAAAGACAAAAATGAAACCAAACTTTTGATTTATTCAATAGTAATAGATGAGAGCCCTGGTTTTGGGGGGTCATCTCGGCTCGCCTCGGCACTTGCAACAGTCTTTGGCTGCTCTGACATATCTTCTTCCTTTTCTGCCAACCCACCCAGAGGCCCCAAGGAGAAAGTGCTTTCACAATTCTGAGTTGATGAGACCTGTGAAATAACAGGCATTTGGACAGAGGAGTTGCTTTCAAATCCATGCTCTCCTAGCTCATACTGGCCGAGGGTCTCTTCTTGTTCTTGATTTAAGTAGTCCGGTACTAGGAAATCACTAAAAGGGAGGTCAAAGGTCAGGAGAAACAGTTACTTGTTTAGTGAAATACTGTATACACTTGAGTTAAACGACAGCAATGCATATGGGAGTGACAACACTGATTTTGCAGCATTGTGTTTTAGGACAGCCTCAGGAAAAGCTACCACCAGTCTCCATGCCATGACTGCCATGCAAAGGACCCCCGCTATCACTTGTTAATCTTCTCTTGCAGCAGCTCACAATGTGGCCAAGGTACTGACATTGTTTTAATGCTACCAGAAAGCTTCCTTTTCAGATGTTTGTCCTTGCATGCAGAATGGCAACATACAGCGATCCCAAGACAGTTCTACATAAAGCCATTTTACAAGTTTTGTGCTACAAGTCACAAGAATTTCAATTTCAAGTACACTACAAGGTTTACTTTGCAAAGTTTACCAATAACAACTTCATATTTGGATGTTGTTTAAAATTCAGACATCTCTCATGAAATAAGAGAAATGCACGGTACATAATCAATTACTGCCTTCACGCAAAAAAATATATGTAAAGGTATTATGTTTATATTAAAGGAGGGACAATTAAAACAAACATTAGAGGAAGAATAAAGGACTGGAATCAGATTTATGCTGAATCAACTGCACTGGTGGAAGTGGACCTCCCCATCCCACCTTCCCTCGGTAGGCCCACCAAGCCCATTAAAATATTACACTAAGAATGAGTGGACTCTGCTGAGTGAACTGTTATGCAGAGCAGATCCCCAAAAACTGGGTGAAGAGACATTCTGTGCAGGAATTGTTCCTCCCTTGGAAGCAGATCCTGGATCCAACCCATAGAAAACAAAAACTAAACAGGACCATGAATAATAATTATACAATCAGTGCCTTTCCCCTGTCCTGAACATATGCCACTGGTGCAAAATGACTCACCCAGGAGCCAGCTGGACTTGGGGAAGCACAGGATGAGGGAACAGAATGGAGCAGGCCTTGGTGGGCTAGAAATTGCCCACCTGAGGTAATAGCAGTAAAACAAAGAGGGTTGGTAGAGGTTCCGAAGCAGTAAAGAAACCTAGAGATTATACCAGGATTCAAGGAGAATTTCCTTCTCCTATGACACTAAATGGTCTTCTCTTGCAAGAATTTAATGAATGCAGCAGTTTTATTGATGGGCATTTGGATAATGCAAAATTTTTGCTTAACTTGGTGATTGGAAAGCTGAAAACACAGTGATATCTGCTTACCTAAGAAAGGAAAGTATTTAAAAAATTGAGAAATATTTAATAGAAATAGAAACACATACCAGCATTTTTCAGAATCAGAAACCAACATGGTGCACATATACATTACTTATGGTTTTAAAACAAACCGCTCTGCAAATTTGATTTTTTGTGGCCAATTTAATATAAATGGAACAAAGAAATAAATGCCGAAAAACTACTTCAGTGGGAGTAAATCCCACTGAACTCAGTGGGGCTTACATCTGAGTAGACATATAAGAGACTGCACAATAAAAATAGGTAATGAAATAATGCTCATAGTAAATGTTTCTGTGAATGGCAGGTTTGAAAAGTACAGGCTTGAGTACAATCCAGAAAAAAGCAGAGCTGTGTATAGTCCCATTGATTTCATTGGCAGAGTTAAGCATTCGTTTTTAAAGGCTGAATGTCTGCCTAGATCAACTATGGTTCCTTCCTTCCCCCATTCTACTCTCTCTTTTAAACTGATTCAGTTATCAATTTAAAATTAGCTGCATTTAATTCCTCTGTACAGAGTATTTAAGCATAACTAGACCTTTCACATCACAACAGTCACATAAATAGTCTTTCACTGCTTTTGTATGTAGCTGTTAAGAGCAATAATGAGAGCAATGGGGAGACAAAAAAAAAATTATACCCATCATTGTTAAGCTGCTCCGGGATAGCAAAATGAATGCGATAGTAATCATGTAGCAGTTTGAATGTAATGTGCTGTTCTGGAATATCTGAGAAATAAGTGTGTGTACATACGTGCGTGCAGGCATACATATGTACGGCTGCACACACACATACGCATTCAAATTTACACAACCCCAAAACAGAAGAGAGAACACTGACGATAGAGATGAAGTAGCCTTCTGGACTCCAGTAAACAGGCAACCTGCTGTTAAAATGATTACAGGCTGCTTTGAACACAGAAGAAATGGTTTAGGGAAAAAAAGCATGTTTCTCTGATAGGGTTTTTATTTTTTTATTTTTATTTTTTTGCAGTGCACCTCACCTGCTCTGGAAGTAGTTTGCTAGCTCTGACGCTTCATGGTTCAGACTCCTCAGATGAACGATTAAATTTCCAGAGTTGGTGAACATGGCGCCACATGTTTTGCACTCGTAAATCCGAGGCTTGCGGATAATGTGCCGGGAAACCCTCATGTGGTGTTTATATTCCCCGAAGGAAGTGAAAGTGGCACTACATATCTGGCACCGGAAACAGCGTTTACCTTCGTGCTTCAGGCGATGCATCTTTAGCGAATAAGCCCGGGTGAACTTTTTCCCGCAACGGTCACACTGAAATGGTTTAATGCCTGTGAAAAGAAAGGAAGGAAAGAAATTGACTCTTTACAACTGAGAATCATTTAGGACAATCCAGCCATTACTGATTGTAGTGATAGTGATTCTGTCCATTTATGCAGAAGCTGCTACCTGAAACGTTTAAAGGAAGAGATGGATTTTCAAAGCTCTGAAGCAGCAGAAGCTATTTCCAAAAGGCTAGTTGTATAAGGCGTCAAGTCAAATTTACACTGACCAAGTACAGGATATGGAATGGATCTGTGCTGTATATTTTTAGCAAGGTGTGCCTCAATCATCTGCAATGGCATAATTTTAAAAAAAAATGGTCTAAAAAGCTATCTCACTGGCTTGCAAAATAATAATAAAAAATAAATTAATGCACTCTGAGACTGAAATCTATTTACCTTATTTTTACATTTTTGCCATATATTTTGATGGGAAAAAAGCACAAAAGGCATTGTTTCAAAAAGCATCAACATGAACTTTTAAAGAGAAGAAGCCACATGGGCTAATATCAAACTATGTCTTATAGAAGCAATAAAGATTCTTACCTGAGTGGATGAGCATGTGCTGTTTTAAATTCTGAATACGGGTGAATCGAACACCACAAGTTGGACACTGAAAAGGTCTATCAGGGCCATTTGGGCTGGGTCTTTCTGTGCTACTGGTTGAAGGAGCAATATAGAGCTGGTAAGGATACTGCACATTCTCCAGTCTGAAGAGGCAAACAATCAGTCTTTCAGAAACAAATTAGTGGTAAAATGTAAAATAGCAAATTACAAATGTGAATGCATATCAAAGCATTGTAACATGTAATTAAGCAAAATTCAAGCTAATTCTTCTAAACCAGGGTAGGTCACAGCCTGTAGTCTACATGTGATCCCCATGGGCTTTTTTGCGGCCCTGGCTTGGTCCCATTGTTGCAGTCATGACAACAATCCTTGCATGCACTGGTTCAATGTAGAGATTATGTGTCTGCTGGGAAACAAGATGTACACTCTCCACTGGAAATCTGACCATGTAGCTAATTTCTGGAAGTCGTGAGGAAGGGCTGCAGGCCATAGGGTTGGTCAGTCGGTCAGTCTTTTTCTTTTCCAGTGGGAGGAGTATTATGTCTGTCCCAACTCATAGCCATTCCAAACTGCATTAAATGCTCTAATCCCTTGGAAGATTATTTCCACTATAGGCAAAACTAATAAATAGCAAGTGAAGCTTTTCGATTAACATACTGTCACACTGAATTTGTAATGAACAACTGCTGCCCTAAGCACTTCAGAGAACCAATAAATACATTTATATTAAATTTGTATAAATATGTACAATAGTTACAGTGACATTTAGGAAGGGTGAGTAAAATCAACGTGCCTCTGGTAAAGTCTGTACTGTGCTAGAATTTAAATTCAACTCACATCTGAACTACTCCAGGTAGCCTGGACAAGTTACTCTTGTTCACAACCAAGAGAAGAATACTGCCCTACCCCACAGGGCTGTTTCTGTCACTCTTAAATAACAATAGTAATAATACAGCCTTCTATGAAAGCAGTTTATAGAAAGCCAACATAGTACAAAAATAAAAATATTCCCCACAAAAATCAAAAGTAACAAGCAAAGCTAACAGCAGCTTTTTAAAACAGCAGCTCATACAATAGGAAACTTGGAACTATAAATTAAATACTTCTTCCCTCCTTTGGCTCATATTTCTCCCTGTTAGCCTTAGCAGGTATTTCCACTTAGAAAACCGTCCTCTGTGATGACAGGGTAAGAATGTAATATCAACAAGATTAATTATGGATTTAATAAACACATTCAGTTATCTGTTGCACTGTCACATAGACCTTCCTCCATGGAGCTCTGGGTGAACATGAGAGGTAGGGTTGGTGAGAAATAATGAATTCTCTGGCTTTGTGATTGAGCAGGAATTTGAATACAAATCTCCCTGGTGCAAGACTAACACCGCACTGGCTCTTTCTCATCCCAGCAGCTAGCATCATTGTATCAAACATATGAAGGGAGAAGTTCAACAAATGAACAAACTTCCTACCAACTGTGCTTAGGAAGGTAGCCGATTTTCAGTTTTGTGAATACTGAAGTACACTGTGTCCATGTAATATACTTTTTTGCTTTTCTTTCTTTCTTTCTGCCTGCCTGCCTTTGTACTTCAAGCAGGAGTGTCATAAACTGAAATGTCTGTTTTACAGTAAATTTTGTTACCTTTAAGAGGCTTAGCAGCATATTTTTCCATTGAGTTAGGGAGGCTCTCTAGGGGATTTGAAAGCTCCTGATATAGAGTCAGCTATGGTGACACAGAAAAGCACTTCTAAGTGTCTCTCTCTCTCTCCTTCAGTTGTAGAAGCACTTGGAAACACTTCAGCATATAGCCAAGTATTACCTTTCATTGTCCTTCTAAAGTGTGCAGTCCATTACATATGAAATGAACCTTATTCAGAAAGTACACATCTGATGTCTCAGATTAGAAAATGCTGAACACAATATATGATGATCTGCAGAATACTGCACACTGTGTGTTCGTACATACCGATCATCATCATCTGCATGAACGTTACCACCAGAGGTACTCTGGAGTGTTGGCAATCCTTCAGTGACCCCTTCATCTATTGAACCTGGGCAGTTAAAAGAAAAAAAACATGTATTACTCTGCAATTTAGTGGAAGTATATATCTTTCCAAGGTTGAACCAATTGGCAACATGTCTCCACACTTTTTTTTTGAACACGAACAAGCAGCAGCTAACGCTTTCACAAATATCAGTGCTGTGCAGACTTTGGAATATTTTGCTGGCACATTTCACAACTCACAGAGCTGATAAGATAACCAATCGCTAAATGGTTATAATGTATCACTGAACATTATAGGACAATTTAGAAACAGTTCAGCTTATTTGGTTTCAGTTATTTGAGGATCCTTAGATGGGGACTGGACTAAAATATGCATAACTGGATTGCCACTGCAAAGCCAAATTTATTATTTAAATACAGAAAGATACTGAACTTGCATCAACAGATGGAAGTACTATGTACGCAGCTAAGCAGTAGTGATTTTATCACAGCCCCCCTTTTAAAAATAAATTTCCTCTTCCAGCTCTGGGCACCCAAATTGTACATTACTGGTTACAAATCAGTATATTCCCCAACAGCCCAATCCTTGGTATATTAATTTGGAAGAGTCATATAAATCAACAAGACTTGCTTCCAATTAATAGTTAGGGTCACTAGTTAGTGCAGTTATGCTTTCATTTTGTCACTGTATCATATTCAAATAAACTAGTGGGTGAAAGCTTTCCTTAAATCTTATTACATGTAAGTTGAAATGGGCATTACATCCATATAATATCAACATATGGTGCTGATGGTACAACATGTATTTTAGTTGAAATCACATCCCAGAGAAGGTTACTGTTTGCTTAGGCTAGATCATGCTTGGACTCTGATCAACAGAGATCTTAAATCTGCATGTCTATTTTTCTTGGGTCACCTTTTTAGAATTGTCAGGTCGAGGATGTTTCATAATTAAATTGTGGCTATAATTCTAATCCTAGCTACTGTGAACAGTGGGACTTCCGAGTCAAAATGTTCAGGATCAGGGTATATGGCTATTATTTAAGTGGATGTATGCCCGTTATTTAAATTTCCTAGGAGATGTTTCCTTTAAAAACATGTTTAGGAATGGGATCTTCTTAAAATTCTAACCCTAACCCTGTAACAACCAGCAAGAATCCCATCCTGCCAAACAGAATAGGATAGTAATGGAGTTGGAAGGGGACTATAAGGCCATAGAGTACAACCACTTGCTTCCACATGTGGCCACCCATGTGGCTGCAGACTATGCCTTTGCAGCTTAGCAAAAATGACTCAACATGCTAGCTTGATATAAAGCTATACAGGCAGGTAGAGGAAAATCCTGGACCTGAATAATGAATGATATCCCAAATCACAGGGTTTCCCCTGAAATACTATGTTACTAGACTGCTACTTAACTGCCTCAAAGGTAACCTAGTTGAACCTTCTGCCTATGATGACAAATAAGTAGCAATGAAAGAAGAGTGTGTGGGTGTGGGAACTTGAGAATAATCAACTATACTTATGATATACAGATGAGGTATTGCATAGTTCTGAACAAATGTATCAACAAATATGTTCCAGGCAATACCTTATCTTTAAAACAGACAGGTGTTAATCTTCAAAATAACCATGTGCAGTATTGCCTTCCCCACACAACTATGGTTGAACTATGGTTTTATACCTCCAAATTCCCAAGAAAACTGACTGAAGTTTGGCAATCTGCTATAGCAGCTATTTGATGTGCACAAGGAATTTGTGCCTAAGCAAGCATGTCACCATTTACTACCAATACAGGAGATAGTTTTGGTGGTGAATATCTACAGGGCAAGCAGAAGTGCACAAGAATGGAGAAGTCCGGAGAAGTCTTGGCATGTATATCTGGATGCCTTTCCCCCTTGGCATGTATATCTGGGAGTCTGTTTGTTGACATTTGCTTTTTCTTTAAATGATGCAAGAAACTATATACTATTCTGTCCATGCAATGATTCCGCATAGCTGATCACATGTCATTGGCAACTTTTCCCCCTGAGCTCCCACTTCTATGTGTTTAACGGTATGGATCAGATTACATTAGTCCAGCAAACCAACTTCTTGCTAAGAGCTGCCAAAAAATAAATTTGGTCTCCTCCTTTAATTTATAAACCACAGTTCTGGCAGATTAGGTATAAAGTCTCTAGTAAGATAATGAATAACACATTCGCATTTGAATGCCTTCGATGCAAGGAAGATTCACAACTATTAAGTCTGCAAAAACTCTGGTAGGTGAAGCATTTTAATTTCAGCAGAAATGCTACCAATACAGAATGTCAACATAAGAGCTATTCAAAGTGTGGTACAAAAATAGCAGCAGAACTATGTTAAGGCATGTGCCACTGGAACACTGTTCCTGTTTCCTTAAAGCAATGATGCAGCTGAAGTACTATGACTGCATGGCTCAGACATTTCCTCCCTGAAAGTGTCAAGGCAGAGCCAACCATCATCCACTCTTATGGTTCAATGTTCATTAAGACTTCAACTGTACAGACATTTATTAGGGTGTAAAGCCCACTGAATTCAAATGGACTTCCTTTTACTTTAGCCTAATTTATTATTTTTATCCAACTTTTCTACAATAACTTTGTGGAGCTTTACTTTCTCCAAAGAAAGAAAAAAGCATAACATACAACAAAACCAAAGCATTTATTTCTGGGTAAAGAAGTATAAGTGAAAAAACTGAGTTGCAAGACAACAAACTGAACACTGAGTAAATGGCTAAATAATCATCACAAGACTTCCTCTGATTTGTGAAGGAACCGATCATCATTATTATATGGCTTTTATTAAAGCCTTTTGAGCTGTTCGAAAAAAATGTACACTTGAAAACTGGGAATGTTTCCATGACGTGATGAAACCCTTGCATACAGCTTCCAATAAAACCATAATGAAAATACATGTATTCTACCTATAGAAGATGACTGTGGGCTGATCAGAAGGTCTTCCTGGACTTGCTCACTTCCTGGAACTGTCTGCTGGTCACTCAGAGAACTTTGGGATGCGCTAACAGGCTGTGATACCTCCTCATGGACTTCCTCATCACTTAACCTTTCGACTTTTACACGTACATCTTCTTCAATCACAAGAGGTGAGCTGGCCTTTGTGCTCTCACAAGTCATATAATCAGCAATTCTTCTAGATGTTTCAGATGGACCAGGCACTTCTAGAGTCCGAGAATTTTCAACTTGTTTTGCCTTCTCTGACTGAAGTCTTCGGTCAATTCCAAAAGGAAAAGTCCAAGGAAAAGCTAAAGAAGAGTCTACTGGATGATTTCTAGACTCTGCATAGGAAGCTGAAGTATTTAGAACCTGGGGGGAGTTTGTCTGAGTGCTACATTTAAGTGGACTTTCTGGAGACATTACTATGTAGCTTTTGCGCTTACGCCGTGATTCTCTGCAGACAGGAATGGTTCTTTCTACCACACTGCATTCTGAGGAAACTGGAGAAAGGCTGCCATCTCGAGAGGTAAAGTTGCAATTTGCACTGTTTTCCTGTCCAGTGTCTAGCACCTTTTCTTGCTGGCTACTGGGAGTGTTCCATAAAATACTTGACTTCATGAATTCTGAACAAGTGCTAGCAACACTAAACATTTGCATATAGCTAGCTGCAGCCAAGACATCAATAATATTTTCTGTGTTAATAGACAATGTTGCTGTGTATGCATATTCTAGAAGAGGCATGAACCCGGTCACTGTCACATGGTGCAGGTCAAGTACACTTTTGCTGTCATCTTCTGCTTGGCCAACCAACTTGGAACGGAAGAAATCGCTGCAGGCTGCCAGTACCACCTTATGTGCTCTGAAGATTTTGTCTTGGACACGGATAGTGATATCACAGAAATGTCCATCATTGCGCAGCATGTTAAGCTTTCCAAGCATCTCCTGGCTGTGAGCAGGAGAACTGTGGGTAAATGTTTTGACACCCATTTTTCTGCTTTCTGCTAATATCCACAATACACAGTATTAAAATGAACCTAGGAAGAAAAAATGCAGATGATGAAGAAAACAATTTCCACAATAATATCACCACAGCATATGTGAATACAAGAATTAATCACAAGATATGCTATTACTATATACTCAAGCCCAATTCCTAAGGAAAACAACCAGTCAATTATACAATTTCAATTCTTTTATCAACTTGGATCAACTATTCTGCTGGTCTGCTATCTCCCTCAAATGACTGAAATATAAGATTGAAACCCTGTTTTCTAGCAAATTGGATTAATTACTACAGATAGTCTAGCATTACAAAAATATGTACGAGCGAACCTCTAGTACTCCTTGCTCTTTTCTCCTCTACTGGTGTAGTCACAAGATAGATCCACAGCTTGATGCTAGGTCTGAACCAGATCAAACATTCGTAATATAAACGAACATTTACTGAAACAAGCCAAGGCAAACCTTTTCTAACATTAGTTTGTTTCCATAAACCACAGTTTAAGCCAGACTTCCCCAAACTGATATACATCAGATGTGCTGGCCTATATATATCTATATCTATATCTATATCTATATCTATATCTGTATCTATAGATATATAGAAGGCACCAAGATGCAACAAGAAGCTGAAGTTGCTTTAACCCAAGAAGTGTGAATGCACTATCAGAAGATGAGATGCGGAAGTTCTTGCACCCAAGGTTTAAGCATGATTGCTCATGTAATATTAAATCACAGCTTAGTGTTTTATGGGCCGCTAGCTTGAAAAGTTACAAAGCAGGGGTAATTTCTATAGTGATTTATTTAAAATAATTGAGTTTCATTTGGGTAGTGACAGATGGATTAGGGTTGAAAACGAAGGTCAACAGGAAAAGTGAACATGCAAGGCAGTGTTCCTCAACCTGGAACACTCCAGATATGTTTGACCAACTCCTGCCATTAGGGGTTGTTTATGGTCTGATTTGATGGAGTGAATAAACATGCTTCTGAAAAAACATGCATAGGACAGCACTTTCATCTATACATTTAAAGAAAGTACAACTTTGACAGTGCAAAATTTGCCTCTAAATGTTAGGCTGGCTGCAATATGGCTCAAGATTTGCTGAGAAAAGAAGAGACAAAATACTTTACCCAAATGTGTAAGGTGTTTTTGCCTTAACAAGACCAATAATTAAGAATTTACTTGAGTTGCAGTCTATTCCTTCTGGTAAACCACTCTTGTTACACTACTGAAAAACAGCCAATTTTGACCTCATTTTCCTGTCTTGTTCCTGCTTTCACACTCATCATATTGTAAATTACTTCAAGAGAAAGTAATTTGTCATCTGGAGCATAAAATCAACTGACTAGCATTATAAAGATCACATGGCTCATCTATTTCAATAGGTAGAAAATATGAAGGAAACACTAACAATTTAACAAGGCAGAGTCTGACCAGTTGGCTTATAATGACATTGTGCACTATTTGAAAACTAAGAATTAAGCAGCAAATGTCCACTGAGTGAAATCTGGGAAAGCTATACCGGCAAATGCTTGTTCAGAATACTAACATGTATCAGATAAAAAGACAACAACTTCACTTGGAGCAATATGTCACTAACAGGGTGGATAGTCAGTAAGACTAGACTGAAACCATGGTTTTCTACATCATTTACATGCATGCCTATCTTACCTGTAGGTAGAGGAACTTCATTAAAATATTCCCAAACTGGGTCTCTTTTACTGCCTGCTGCCATTATAGGTTTGATTTTCTCCTCCAGGGAGAGAATGATACAATAAACATCAGGCTATACACAAAAAAGATCCTAAGGATCTTGTCTTGTGGAGTATTCTGCTCAAAAGGATTCACTTTCATTTTTTATTGCTTGCCCCTTCCTGCTCACACTTAGTTCCTTGTGCAGATCTATTCCACTCCTAACAATATTCTATTCTATTCATTATTTTGTGACAAACACAGGTTGTACAATGTTAATTTGAGGGGAAAATGCTATAGCTTCCATCCTGCTGTAGCGTGCTCCTGGGTTTGGCCCATCAGAATTCTGTGAAGGCCACTTCACATATTATGCAAGGAAAGCTACTTCTACAAGTATATGCTGCAGGGAGATATTTCATTCATATAATTTAAAGCGTGTGTTCCAAAACACAAACATAGGTACAATGAAGTAAACATACCAGTATCATAAAAAAATCCTTAGTACGGCTACCAGGGTGAAAAAGCAATAACAACTAGTGATAGAACAGCAATGGTTGGTACCACTATGCATTCTGCTGGGTTCCTTTCCTTCCTGCATTCTCTGGTCTTCTGGGCTGTCTTTTCCAGATCAGAATGAAACCCACATGCCTTAAGAGGTGGGGAAGTAGGAGGACAAGTTGGGGAAAAGTGGCAAGCTCCTCTGCTAATTTAGTACTGTTAATAAGCAAAATTAGGTGCTTCAGATTCTGTCTTGGCAAGCACATTCCTAACATCTTCTGGATAAATGATGATCAGTATACTATCAGCACTCATCCTTATTTCTCAGTACCACTGGGATCTTTCTCCAGGGGAGAAAGAAGAAAGTGCAGTATTTCCCTGTGAGCAGAAATGATGTCTCATACAGAAAACAGACTGGGGCAACAACAGGAACCTTCACTATTTAATAATGTTCTTATGTTTTAGGCTTTCTATGACTTCTCACATAATTCCTCTGCTCATATTCTATAATTAGAATAAATTATACAAAGTCGATGTATCTCTACAATTCTAGTAAAAGCATCAAGAATATCCAGTGAAAATAAGAATTGCTCTGCTGCATTCATCCAGTATAGCATTCTTTTTCCAACAATACTTAGTCAGATGTCTCTGGATCCTCACAAGCAGCATTGGTCTACAGCCAGCACCAGCAGATGAACATTAAGTTTCTACCAAGTTATTACAACTAGTAACTATGCTATTTCCCCCTACTTCTGATCTTCCTAATCAAATTGAGATATTCACTTTTTTTCTGATAGGTTTGTGGGTCCTTTACGGAAGAAATTGACTTGATCAGTGAAATCAGGCTCACAGTGACTTACCTCCTCAGAAAGCCCAAGTAAGGCACACTGGAGTCCTACGATATCATTTGGAGCAGCTACTTAAAATGTGATAAAATCAGCTAAGAGATTGTTAGTGCAATTTTTAAGTGCTGCCTCAAGAAGTAGCATTTGTACTTTCTTATGGAGATAAGTGGTAAATCAGCTGGTGCTACACATCCTCTAAAACTGGCAGTCTATATTAAAATCCTGATTTTTTTTCTAATGTCAAATTGGGAAGGCAGCATAACTGCTGGATATATGTTACTATACTCTTTAATGAAGGGTACTTTAATGAATACTATTAAAGGCTAACTGAAAGACATCTATGGTTTGCCAAGACCTTGCTAGCTATAAAAAGCCAAGAAAAATAGTCAATGAAGTATGATACTACTTTGACTTGAGTCCACAGTATGAGCTCTAAAAAGGTCAAAGTCAGGCAAGACAACTCAATAGTTCTGCTTACACATCCTATTCCTTGCTGCAGCCAGCCCATAACATGAATGCAGAATGGAAGACTTAATTGGGATAATAATTAACTTATTCAAAATTCCTTCATCACTGAGATTTTATAGCTGAGACAGCGTTCCCTCACGAAGAGATTTGAGAACTTGACTTAAAACTGTGGCAGTGAGTCTCATATACGCATACTACTCTGTAACTTATTGAAGCAGTGGCCTGATAACTGTGTTCCTCTCACTTATGCTTTTCAAAACAATTCCTAGAATAGCTAACCAGAAACACTGGACTCTACAGGACTTAAACTGCCAAGAATGCATTTTCCTGCCACAAATGGTTATATAGTAAGTTGAGTCACATGCTAGGAAATGAAACATGACTTTAACTATCTGTACATGTCTATTGGCAACACACATTAGATCAAGATGCTGAACCTCAGGCCTGTTGACCAATCCAGCATTCCTGGAGTCCCAACAGATGGCCATGCCTCTTCCCCTTGTCACACATTTAACTCCAGCTCCCAATTATTTAGCATATTCCTGGTGTTTATCTGTTCCTCTGTCCACTCTTAAAGGTTGAAATTCTAAGGTTTAGTTACTGATATTAAGGGCTCTACACTAAAATGTTCTGATGCTTTGTATATCTTGGCCCAACCTTTTTGTCTTTGGTCACATCAACCAATTGAATGTATCCCTAAGCTTCTCCAAAATTCAACTAGGCCCTCAGACTGAGAGACATTAAATAACCTGCACTGGATTAATAATTTTAATAAGAAATGGAACTGAGAACCATGCTGGTAATCTTATAAGAGATGTTTTAGAAATCAATAAGGCCAGGTAGTGCATAATTCATCTTTCTAAAATCATCTAGACACATTCCTGTCTGGATTCCAATGTGGTTAAAGCAGGTTAGCCTTGGCCCCTGTGATGCCTCATTGGGAGAGGGGCAAAGGGAATGAAAGCCTGTAATTCTGCTATATCTTTCATAGGCTTTCACTATTATTGACCATGGTATTCTTCTGGATTGATTCTGCAGGCTGGGCATTGGAAGCATGGTGAAACAACAGTTTTCATCTTACCTGTGTGGTCGATTCCAGAGTGTAATATTAGGTGACTGTTCCTTGGCCCTTGGCAATTCAGCTATGGGGTTCTGCAGGCAGCTCATTTGTCCAGCGTTAACATCTATATGAAGCCACTGGAAGCGGTCATTAAGATATTTTGAGCCAAGTGCCATAAGCACACTGATAGAAAATCTCCCTGTAACATTTGAATCAGGTGAAGCTATGCAAGTCCTTGAACATGCCTATACTCAGTGATGGGAGGGATCAGGGCCAATAAACCAAAGGGGAATCCTGGCAAGATGAAAACCCTGAGTGGTTCCTGAGTTGTAATGTATTACTATTGCATTGCATTTATGTCCAGCTTTTTTCCTCTTGCAACTTCTGGAGGTGGGCTCATTACCTTTTCTGGCTGGTGTTGCACTCTCTTTGAAAGACCAGGTTCATGGTACTGGGGTACTCCTAGACCCA